AGGAGTGGTGCTCAGAGAAACGACAGTTCATGTGAAACGTGTATGTGTGCCTCACGGTGTGTTATCGGTGGCAGCGAAAATGCAACTTCTCATCAGAGTGCCGTAGTGCAAGCGCCCAACCAACCCAAAGAGTACATGCTCGCCAGCCGCACTGCAGGCAGCAAACAAAAAAAAAGAAGGGGAAAGCGAGGAGTGGTGCTCAGAGAAACAACAGTTCATGTGAAACGTGTATGTGTGCCTCACGGTGTGTTATCGGTGGCAGCGAAAATGTAACTCCCCATCTGGGCGCTGTAAAAGTGGTCATTGTTTTGTCTTGCACGGTTCATGCTTCGCCCATACTCCCACAAAAAATGTGGCAATAAAACCAAAACATTTAAATTTATGAAGAAAACATCGCACACATAAGCATTACCCAGAGAGTGAGGAAAGGTTGATGGAGCAGAAAGAACCACACGCGTCTCTTGCTCCTCCAAAGTATTCCGTTCATCGCTGAATTTTCCGTTCAGGCGGGGCAGGGTTCGCACTATTTTCGCGATGAAGCCTAAGGGCATGCTCACGACCGTACTCCGAAATTACCTCGGACTTTCCGCAGTACGATACCTGCAGTGGCTTCTCCCGCTCCATGTTATAGCGGTTGTGGAGAGCCATGATCGCACAGTCGGCCTCCACCGTGGAGGCAAACTCCACAAATGCACTGCCCTTGCTACGACCGGTTCCTCTATCGCGAAGTATATTTACGTGAAGCACCTTCCCGTAGAAGTCAAAAAGGGCACAAACATCTTCCTCAGTTGCCTCAAAGTTTAGCTGGCCCACAAACAAACGCGCCCTTCCAGCCACCATAGCCACGGAAAACAGCCACAGAAATGCACTAGCAACAGTTCTGCGCCCCCTCGCCCTTTTGCAAGCGCTTCCAAATATAAAAGGACTCTTCACAAACAAAAGGAAATAAAAGGAAAAAAATCTTAAAAAATATTTCACAACAGAAAGGTGGGGATAGTAGCAAAGCAAAAAGAATTTCACCACAAATACATGGTGCACGCGCCCAACCAACCCAAAGCGTACATGCTCGCCAGCCGCACTGCAGGCAGCAAACAAAAAAAAAGGGGGAAAGCGAGGAGTGGTGCTCAGAGAAACGACAGTTCATGTGAAACGTGTATGTGTGCCTCACGGTGTGTTATCGGTGGCAGCGAAAATGTAAACTTCTCATCAGAGTGCCGTAGTGCAAGCGCCCAACAACCCAAAGGTACATGCTCGCCAGCCGCACTGCAGGCA